TGCTAGAAGTAACTATTGCTGATAATTATTTACAAAATGTTTCAAACCTAACTTACTTTGCTCTGTACTTTGGTTTTCAGATTTGATTAAGGTATATCTTACATCAATTTAGGCAAAGGGGAAGGCATAGTTCAAAATGAAACAAATATATATATATACACACACATATATGCTATCACCTCTCAAGTACACAAATCACCTTCCCTACATAGAGTAATGCTTTATTACTCACAACATGTCTCCACTACAACGAAAACAGAGGCTAATTTTTCTTGACTTATTACTTTATCTCACTTTCCTTGATCTCTGTAATTCATTTCTGGATTGTGACTTAGACCTGAGATTTTAGGCTGTATCCCATTTCCTCTATACATCAAACTAATCCAAAGAGATAATTGTTCAGTTCAATTCTAGGTATGTCATTCAAGAAAATTTGTGATTCCTTTCTTAGTTTGACCACCTAGCAATTGTCACTATACTACAGGACCTATTTTAGGGGATATGGGTTCAAGCAGCTGAGACCTATTTTCTGTAGGTGCTTTGTAAACCTTTAAAGCACCAACCAAATATGCCCCTGAGAGTGAGGCTTGATTCTGCAACCGTGTTGAGCAGCAGCATTCTGAGAAAGGCCATGGGACTCAAGGGAAGCTTGTGACTCTTGTGTTCCTTTCAGCAGACAACAGAGATAAGCAGACAGGGGAATCCTATTGAAAACAAGTCCCAGGCAGGAGGTGGAGACTCCAGGAGAACAGTACAGGAGGCCAGATAGCTCACTCCCTTGTGTTCCAGAGACCTATGCTAGCTTAATCACAATGTTGAGTGTGCAACTACATAAAAATCTGCCTCTCCTCCCCACCGTGCAGAGTGAGCACACCAGGAAAAGGCCTGTAATTCTAATTGTAATTGACATCTGTAATTCTAATGCTTACTCTGGTGTTTCCTATGCACTGTCAGGCCCAGGAGCACTAGTCAACTTATTACAGAACAATCAACTCTTCCATTCCTGCTCAACACATCCACATTTCAATCCTTAAAAGGCAAGAAATGTTCCATCAGTATGAATTGTTATGTTGGATCAAGCTGTCAAGAGAGGAAGTTATCCTGGATTATACGTTTGGGCTCAATGTGACCACAGGAAGCAAGAGAAGAAAATAAGATGAGATGACAGAACCAGATGTTGGAATAACACGCTTTCAGAATTCTGACCTTCATAATCACAATAAGTATATATTGTTTTAAACTGTAAGGTTTAAATCACAGAACCAACAGGAAGCTAATATGCTCCTGTTAGAATGTAAATGTATAACTATCATGTGAGCAAATGAGAGAAGTCTTGATACGAAGTAGAAAGGCCCTGCCTTAGCATTCCAGTTGGATAATAACTTGCTTAGTAACTTTTGGCCCAACCTTCTGATGTCCCTACAATTCCTTAGTAAAAGAGTTTTGGCTGTGGAGTCAGGATGACCACGGTGGAAATCTTTTCTAGATCATTACCTGGATTGTAATCCAGGTACCAGCCTTGGGCGGGTACCGAATTTTGTGAGCCTTACAGTAATGCCTATCGGGGTCAGGCGGCAGTGACTGTACCTCCCACACAAAGCTCTGGTTAACTTTAGTTCAGTCACCTTTGATGGAGCTCTCAACTAAGCAAACTGAAAATCATAGCTCCATAAAAATGCAACTAACATCACTTCAAGCACAATAACGGAAGTCATGAGAATCCCACCCCACAATGGAAAAGACAGCCAAGAACTATACACTGACAAAGCTGGTAAACATAGTAGGATTACTTCAGGATTGCATCCACAAATTCAATCAAACCAAGCATGTTGCCAAGTTACACATTAATACTTCATTTTGGTCTTCAGGAACACAGCCCTTGCATGAAACATGACCACTTCTAACATAGGCCAAGCAATTAGATGGTCTTGGGACACAGAAAGCTATTGCTCTACAATGTTCATATTAAGGCACTGATAAAACTTTAAAGCAAACATTTCCACCATGACAGAGGACTTAAACTTCCTTCAGCTTTCCCAGGGACCTACACACTGGCCTCTTGATGCTTTCAATGAAACGTTGCAAATTGGAAATCTGAGTTAGATGAATTAGTGACACCTCATATGATACAGTAAAATATCCCCAGTTTTTCCTGAAACACAAAGTCTTGGGTTAGGATTAACTAAGAGTTCCAATAATATCATGAAATACATCTTACTTCATGTAACCCATTTTGTTACTATTTGGCTTATTTATATTAATAGAATGATGAAAAGAAAGGGAATCCAGCACCTTTCCCGCCCATATGTTCTCATTCCTTAAATTAACAAAGCCCCAAACTGTGTCTCCCACACACCACAAACAGTGAGTGCTGCAGAATATGTAAGTGATCTTCATGGGCCATGTAACTTGCATAGAAGAAGAAACTTGAGGCCAATTAGAGCAATGACTGAAACACTCCCTCCTTGTAGCATTAATTCTGGCTAATAACTATCTTCTCCATAGAGGAAAAAACTAATTTCTCACAAATCATAGACTGATTGTGAAGAGGAAATAATTTTAAAACACACTCTTAAAGTGTACCCATTTTTCTCTAAGCAGCTTCCAGTCTCACTAAATCAATTTGGATGATGTTTAGTGCACTGTAGATTTGGTAATAACTGGTACAGAGACTGAAAAAGAATGAGTAGATGAATGCCAGCCTCTGGATGGAAGAGATCCTGAATGAAGAGATGGGGAAAGTAGCAGGAATGATGCTGAGCTACTTAATTCTAGATGAACCTGGTGTCACCAGTGAGGAGCAACAGAGAGCTTGTGCTTCAGCCCCTGTGATGCTTAGGTTGCAGAGACTCATTCAGTGCAGATTCCACTCTCAGTTTTTCTTAAACCTCAAACTTATACCAAGGCAAATATAATATCCAGGAAAGATTCAGAGCAAGCAGGAGTTCAATCCTTACCCTACCTTTAGGGTACTACTCACCAAATCAGTTCAACATCCCTCTTCTTTCATAGAGATGGATTTTAATGACTTTCGTGCTGTCTTAATGCAGCAAAAGAACTAATCTCTTTCTTTTAAAAAATATTTATTTTTACCTAAAAGGCAGATTTACAGAAATGAGAGACAGATAGAAAGATTTTCCATCTGAGTTCACTCCCCAAACAGCCACTATGGCTGGCTGGAGCCAAGCTGATGTGAAGCCAGGATCCCCTTTCAGGTTCCTGACATGGGTACAGGTGCCAAGAATTTGGACCATCCTCCACTACTTTTTCAGGCCCTAAGCAGGAAACTCGATGAAAAGTGGAGCAGCTGGGGATGAAATGGCACCCACATGGATGCACACACATACAGGCGAAGGATAAGCCAATAGTGCCAGTCCCCAGAACTAGCTTTAATCTTTTCTACAGCATAAGTTGATTATTGCTTGTCTTGTATAAATTGGAGATAAAGAATAGTTGGACCCATCCCATCTCACAACTTGTTCCTGGGTATGTTTCAACTATTTAGGATATAGTGTCCATTTATTTTTCTTTTAAGCTACTCACTTAATTATTTGAGAAGTGCAAGTGTTTCATTCCCCAAATGATCACAACAGTTTAGGCTTCAGTCAGGAGCCAGGAATTCATATTGTTCCCCTGTATGGATGGCAGGAACACACTTAGTTGCACCATCATTTTTGCCTCCTGGGATCTGCAACAGCAGAAGCTGAAATCAGAAGCCCCTTCAGGCCTCAGATCCATGTACTCTAGAGCGAGGCACAGGCAACTCAGCCAGCAGGCTAACAGACCACAACTGGTGCACAGCCTTCATTAGGCCAATGATGCTTGGAGTTTTAAATACTGCCTTGAGTTTGATGATCAAACTCCTCCAAACTTTATATAACAAGCTAGGCTGCAAAGCCTTGAACTCAAAATCAAGTAAACTAATATAAGAATTAGTTTTTTATTGGCTATGTGGGTTCTGACACTTGCTTTGATAATCCCATTTACTTCTCCAGCCAGAAATAACCTAGGAATTTCCAGTGCTTATGCCAAACCTCTATCCATCTCAATGGCTCTCTCTCTCTCTCTCTCTCTGTAACACTTTAAACTTTCCACTTACAGGTATACAGTGGAGGTCTGGTTTTGATTTCTGCAACTAAGTGTTTTTCACTGTCTAAATTTTTCTACTCAGAGCATCTGAGTTAATCCATATTTGTATAGCCCTTTCTCAACCTTTACATCTCTGTGACTACTTTGATTCATATACAGGTTAGATGTCCTGCATGCTTGCCTAGTCATTCTGCTTATATCAAAGGACCATGGAATTTAAAAAACAAACAAAAAAGACTTGTTAACTTCATCCTACTTTTTCTGGATTTCTTTAGATTGCAAAAACGTTGAAGTGCAAGACCATACCAATGAGCAAAGCATACAAGCCCTGGTCTCTTTCATCTGTACCTGTGCCTACAGACTTATTGTTTTTTTTTTTTTTTCATTTCACCAGGTCATGATTTATATACCCAAGGCATCTTATTCCCCATGAGCTACCTGTAAAGTTTTACAACAAAGCATGATCTTATATATTCCCTTTCTATCTGGAAGGGGATCTTGTTTTCCACCCCTCGGGCCTACTTCAAACGTCACACCCCTAGAAATATTCCTCCCATCTTCTAATAGGATAAGACATCCTCTCCCCTTATTCCCATAAATACCATAGATACATCTATAATAGGCCCTATCACAAGGCTCTTCATTGCTATTGCAGGTATTTTTGCTTAACCACAGATTTCCTTTTTTTTTACATCCTCCCACAATCTATGACCTGGTTTACAGTAATAGTTAAATAAATGCTAAAGTTAAATATGCACATGATTCCCAAAACAGAGATGACTAGATGGCTCCCATCACTTGGATCTAGGTCACACTTGCCATTTATTTCTAGGTCAGATAGGACAAAACTAGACAAACAACAGAAAAGTAAATGGGCCACTATGAAGCCAAGAGTAAGAAACGTGACGTACCTGATAGACCACTGTGTTAACAGCTTCTTCTTTTTTCTGCTCTGAAGATCCTTGACTCTGCAATAGATTTCGTACTGTTTCTTCCATCCTAAGAAACAAAAAGGTGAAGAATTCCTTAAAGAAGCTTCCTTGCGAACACAGGTTTGATCTGGTTAGTAGAATTTATTCTTCAGCACTCATTTCACAAGTATGGACCTGGAAATCTCTTTCTCCCTCCTTCATCCTTGCAATAAGAAACTGTCATGAAGTTCTTATAACTTTGTTTGGAATATATCTCTGGGTTCTCTTTCTTCTTCCCATTTAGTTCCTCATCCTCTGCCTTAGACATCTGCATTTATGCACAATACTCCCATCTTCAAATACCTCTTCAATTCCAAGTGCTTCTTTAAATGTGTTCTCTCTCTTTATCTCTCTTACTCTTGCTGCTTTTTAAGTAGATGAAAATAAACATTTTCTAACCATAATTATTGTTTAACACTCATTTATACAAGCTACTTCTTCAGTGTCTAATTGGTACAGCAGAAGCTACTTCTTTTAATTTTACAAATTTTATTTTGTTAATATTAACTGAAAACTAATTAGTGGTATTAACTTATCAAAGAGTTATCTATTAGTCACTAAAATGCATGCCTAAAATATATTTCTATCCATTTGGTAGATGAGCCAGCTGAGTTACAGAATTGTCAGTTGACTTACAAAAGGGATCATGGTTAATTGGAAAGAAAGTTAGGGTTAAACCATTCTCACTGACTCTAAACACAAGCACAGCTTCCTCTCTCTACTCGACCTTACTAACACTCGAAGTAGCGGGCTTAAATGAATACCAGCGTCATCTCCTAATTAAGAGTTATTTTGTTGAGCACCTCTCAGATGCTGAGCCAAAGACAATATTGTTTTGCATTTGGGGAGAGCTCAAGATCTGGTAGAATTTGGTGGAAAAAGGTACATAATTTTGAATATTAAAGTCAAACTCTGAAATAATGAGTGATCTGAGCCAGTTTCTAACACTTTAATTCATTTCATATAAATAATCTCAGATGGCAGATTCTCCCATGAAGCCTGTCAAATCTAACATAAACAAAAAAAAGGAAAAACCATAATGATCCACAGACTTTGCCCAGCTCCCTCAGCCTATCCATAGCAAGCAAGGGTATGATCTTCTCATTTTCTTAGTAGGTATCCTAGTCATATACCACATGAAAGTATTGCTGTCGATGACAGACTGCATATTTCATATCTACTCTACAACTTTAGACTGTCCGACATTATTTTAGCCCACTGACTGTACTGTACATCAATACAACCTGTGACTTTTACCCAATGACAAAACATTGCTAAAAATATTTCTCAGAATGGATTTCCATAGTTAAATGATGGATAACTCTTGTCCACCTTTTTAAACAGCTTAATACAGGGGCCAGAAGTCTAATTTCATCTCCTATTATGTTCATAAGTAAACATCTAGCATAGATCAGAAAATAAAATCGCAGGGTTTTTTTAATGCTTAAACACAATCCTGGCTTAGTACATATACCACTGACATGTATGATTAAAAGTCCTACGCTCAGGTTACTGGATCAAAAGGAAAAACATCGATTCACCTTTCATCCATTTTTCTTAGTGTTCTACTTAAAGAAAAAATGTGGGTGGACAGGAAATTATTAAAACTATCTCAAGCAGACCAAAACCCACAATAATAATGTGAACACTTTTCTAACCCGACTCTCCAATTCACTCAAACTGATTTCATTTTATTTTTAAACTTAAAGCTTGGGACAGACTCACATGGAACCTTACTAACCCTTGGTAAAAAGACAAAAAATACAAGTTGTCATATCTTCCTGATCACAGAGAAATTTTTTTTTTTACTCAGAGGAAAATGCTCACTTTCCAATACTTAATTCCCTGATGACACGATTTTTTAAAGCTCCCATTTGACCAATTTCACTTTTTTCCTGGAAATGAAGACTAAAACTTCATTCATTACTATCTCATGCCCAATGCCATTCTGCTTCATTTCACTGATGTGCCAAAGTTTGCATTAGAAATCAGTACACACATTCCAGCTTTACCATCTGTCTCAAAAACAGGACTAAAAGTAAGCCAATGCCTCCCTCTCAATCAGACTGGGGTAGAATTCTGGTTTTATATTTGTTTTTTTAAATGACTGAACAGTGGAATTTCTCCTTAAATATTGACCTTTCTTAATCAGAATCTTCTAGCTGTTTCTTACTACCACCTCAGACTAAACTCTTTCCTTCCCCATGTACCAATTAAGAGGCTGTCAAAGCCACATATACAGGGGGGGAAATGGCCTCTAGCATGATTAAGTTCCAATGTACAACACTGAAGTATCAATAAAAAGTTAACTCCCTAGAAAGCCAGAGCAAATGCACTAAACACATACACAAACAGTATGCCTGAGGTAACACTGATGTAATTGTAAGATTCTATTAAAAACAGCACTTTGTATGTATACATTATTAAATCAATAAACTCTGACATTGTTTCCTCAGAGGAAGCTTTCACTGAAGAAGGGCAATAACTTAAAATTAGAGAAATAGGAGAGTGAATCCTAATATAGGATAATAGTAATTATTTAAAACCACAGATTTAGTGAGACATATAGCAAATAACTTCTCTCCTTCTCTCCCTTTTTTCAAAGGGCACACCTTTGCCACAACTGCAGCTTAACAGGATTCTTGCCATTGAGTTGGCATCCAACCTCTTTCAGAAAGGGTGTCTTTACACACCAAAGGAAGATTCTTCTGGAACGAACCATGAAATGGCAGTGGTTTCCTCAACCCTTTGTGGAAATAAAGTATTTGATTAATAAGGGACTCACAATACCAGCAATTTCCTTTATGGAGAACATGACTTGGGCACTGAGGACCTCAAATTAACTCAGCAATATAGCAGTGTTAGAAAACACGACTCCAAGATGCTAATTTGCCTCCTATAAATTACATTCTTTTACATCCAGTACATTTGTTGTCGAAAAGCAGAAAAAAGGTACAATATTTGTCTTCTGGGGATTGTTTTTTTTTTTTTTTCACTGAGCTTAACGGTTTCCTTCTGTGTCCATTTTGTTGCAGGAGACATGATTGGATTATTGTTTGCAGCCCTTGTCTACACCCTTGAGGAATAGTTTTTTGTTTTTTGTTTTGTTTTTTTTTTCTACTTGTTTGTTGGTGAATCCTTTTACCTAATGGAACATTAGGTCCATGATTGTGAAGTGAACTGAAAGTATGTTATTGAAAAAATTAAAAGGAAGGAGTAGGAAGCTTTTGTGCTCAGAAGGGAGGAAGGGTGGAAGGCATGTGTCACCACATTTCAAAATCTGTATCATAAAATATGTGATATGTGTTCATTTCCTATAAATAAATAAATAAGTAAGATTTTAGAAAGAAAACATGACTCCAAGGCACTGAGGAGCTGTTTATTCTAACAGAAATGGGCAAAGCAGAGCGAGGGGGAGTTTCCACATCTCTTTCTCCAAAAACTAATTCTCTGCTACTAAACTCCAAAACTGATCAGAATCTTAGACTGAAATGTTCTTTTTCACTATCAACAGACATTCAGCGGAGCATCATTTCATTTGTGGCAGAAATAAAACAAAATCAATGCAAAACAAAGACACGCCTCGCGGCATAAACTGACAACCGATAAGGCTCTTCTAACTGAAATCTAAACTGAGTGAACTGAGTGACACTTTCTGTTTTCAAGAAACATTTATGGTTGCTGTTTAGTGAGAGTAGTTTAAGATGCTCACATTTCACATGAGAGGACCTGGGTTCAATTCCCATTTCCTAATGTCAGCTTTCTGCTAATGCAGATCATGCAAAGAAGTGGTGATAGCAACAATGATTAGGTTCCTGTTAACCACAGGAGAGATCTAGATTGAGTTTCTAAGTATCGGCTATTGCTTTGGTACAGTCCCAGGTACTGAGGGACAGGAGGGTGGGGGACTGGGAAGCACAATAGCAAATGTGAGGTTTTTTGTGTTGTTTTGTTTTTGGTCTCTCAAAACTTTCAGTATTTAATATGTATGATTACATAATTAGTCAAATAACACAATGATGGAATTACCAATGAACCTACTCAATACTTCTTCACTTAGGAGAGTTGCCATGAGACAAAATTCTGTCCACTGCTGCTTGGGTACATGGTACATACTCTTCTATTCATGCATATTGTGAAGTTTGTCAGGAGCTGACGTGACCTGCAAATTGCTTTTACCCATGTTTCACTGCATTTGGTTCCCTTCTCACTTGGGAAAAGGTTGTCACTTTATAGAATGGCCCCATAAGGACAGAAGAGTGACAAGAAGAAAGGGTATGAGGTTAAAGTAGACGAAGGCTGGAAGGTTAGAGACACTGCAATCTTTCCATAACCCTAAATCTCCTCCCTAAGCATTATGGCAGGACCCGATTCATACTGAACATGGTGTTGAGCATCTATAGCCAACAGGCATCATGAGAATGGCTAGAAAGGCCGGTGGGGGGGTGGGGAGTTAAAATAAAATATTAGCTCTCTGTCACTGGATGTCTATTTAGTAGCAGGTTTAAGAAAACTAAACCACAATATGACTTGGCTTTTCAGGATCCATGTCTTTTATGTGGAAGCACAAACTAGCTTTTTGTCAAACATTACATGCCTACTAGCATTAAGTTTTGTCCCAAATGTTAGTTAAATCCCAACTCTAAATCTTTATGTGCTCAAGTGTCAAAAGAATGGCATAATAATTACACATCACCCACCCACATCCTTGTGTGTAATTTAAATCATCTCTAGATTATTTATAATACCAAACACAACATGAATTGTTCTTCTATGCTGTTTAGTGGATAATGACAAGAGAAAGTCTGTGCACATTCAGTACAATCTGCAATTGGTTGAAGCTGTGGATTTGGAGAGTGTGGAATGGCGAGCCAGCTGTATTACTCAGAAATCAAATGAAAAAGATGCATGCAACAACACGGAGGAAACTAAAAAGCAGGACAGTAGATGAAACATTATATGATTGCCTTCGTAAAATTCTAGAGTAGTCAATGCTAATCTACACTGGAAAATTTAAGAACAGTAATT